ACCTATATAAGAGAGGGAAAGTAGATTCTAATAGTTGCCCCTGCAACTATAGGTCTATACAAGACCTACCTTATATTCTATTTAGATGTAATCTATATAAAGAGGAAAGGAAAGGACTAAGAAATGCCTGCGAAGGCAATCTATTACTACCTATCCTCTCTCAAACAAAAGAGGGTATAGAAGCAACTATTACCTTTATTTAAGAAACAAAGACTAGAACACAAGCCTGGTACAAGGGAAACACAGAAAACGAGGAGTAATACCTGTAACAGGTAGCCATACACCTCCCCTACCCTATCCTACCCCCTACCTACTAACTAATAGGCTATAAGCCTCACCTTTATCTAGTGAAAACCCCTCCCAAATATCGTAGCTAGAAACAATCTACTTAGATACTTGTAGGCCTAAAAACCCTACACGTCTTATATAGCCCTTTGGGCTGAAAAAGGACGTTAAACTAGAATAATAATAATTACAATAACAATAATAATAAGAATACTTTACTCAAATATATATTAGATTTAAAGTTCTTCTAGAAAGAGATGATTTTGAGAATTGGAAGTAATACTTGCCCTAAGTATAATCAAGTTCTAAATAGTAACATTTCAAATATTTTATCTTGTATCTAATATTATTGTGGAATTCGTAGTCTATTCATTTCATCAGGCAGGCAAACTATCTTCGTCCTGTTTATTAACATCTACAACGTACTTACACTTGGCTAACATTCCCTATGTGCTATATGCGTTACGAAGTCTTAAGTACAACCTCTGCCATAGCAGATATAGATGTTACCATCGCCGACACATTCATTTCACGGTCCACTCACCTCCCCCTGATACTCGCTGCCACAAAATGAGCACCCTGCAAACAGTCACAACAGGGCCATCAAGTTCCATCTACATGTTGTCAACAAACTTATTTTAATGCAGAAACCTGCTTATTTGAGGCTCCATACTCACGACTTTAGGAACTACAAATCTGATATCATTTGAAAACGTCAACAAATGCCCAATTTTGATTGATTTGAAACAGGCTATCCGTGCTCATTGTGTTCACTCTAACGCCGTGAGGTCAATGTCATATCTCGTCCGCGATGTGGGTATGGCGATCGCCCTCGTCTAGTATCTTGACTGTTCGCGTTGAGTCGGCCATCATCAAGGTATATCTCTGGGCTGCATACGGCTTCTGTCAGGGGCCGGTCTTTATTGGCTTTCGGATACTGGCCCACGAATATGTGGCTAAGGGGCATTTTCTTTCTGCTCGTATCTCAACGACAGTATTGGCTGGGTCCGTCGTTCCTTCCTCGGGGTCCCCTATTTCTCCTGGAAGATCACACATGCCCGCTATCACCGATTCACGGGGAACTTTACTAAAGACGTAGCTTTCATCCCGCGTACTGCTGAGGAGGTGGCTCGCTAGAAGGGTATCTCTCTCAAGGCACTCAAAGAATCTTGCGAGGATACCCCAGTCAGCAACAAAGTCAAGCTCATTGCGCATCAGACTCTCGGCTGGCAGGCTCACATGCTCTTCGGTTTGTCTGCTGGCTCGAAAGGTGAAGTAGGAGGTGACAGGGGACGTGAATAGCGATGGTTCTTTGCAAGAGCTAGTTATTTTGATCCGCGTGGTGTTCTTTTCCTTCCGTAACAGGCGAGGCTGGTGATTATATTTAATGTTGGGCTCGCCATTGCTTTATATGCCCTTTATGCACTTGATCAGGCGATAAGTTGGCAGGCTACTGCTTTGCTTTGAGTTTGTTCTATATTGGTGGGTTTATCATTGGTTGGTGGTAATCACTATCCTTCAACATACGCACCCCAACGTTCCACACTAGGGCGACACGACATGGACCTTCAACCTTGGCAATCTTTGCACAATTGATCGCGACTTTGGCTTCATCAGGCGTTTCTTTTTTTAGGGGGCTATTATGGACCATGTCGTTCACCATCAATTTCCAAAGATCCCGTTGTATCATGACAGCAAAGCAAGTGCTGTGATCCGCCCGCTTCTTGGGAGATTGTACAAAAAACATCTCTAGAATACTACTTGCTCAGCCATCTTGAAAGGCAATTGTTTCATCATTTGCATTCTTCAAGTGCTTAGTCTAGTGTTGGAAACGAGCCTTTTTCTTCTCTACATCACTCCCAATCTTTTCTTTTTTGACTTCCTGGCACCACTCAAAATTTGCCCGGTGATGAGTGCAATTACAGAAAATGAGAGGAAAATCAGTTTCACTCGCTGACAGTCAATATTCACTCTCACTTACGGTGGCTATGTTAAGGTTTTTGGATCTCAACAAATTTGCAATGTGATCGTGTAATATTGAGCGCGAAGGATCGCATATTCCCAATCTGGGTAGCCTAGCCCATCCTGCCCCACTTTTCAGAAGGATAACATTAGTAACATATGTTCGCTTAATTTTCTCAACGCTGTACACAGTAATATCTCGTAAGACTAGTAGATGAGCGAAGAGGATCGGCATCTACTCATGTCAACGGCCCGACAAAGGTCGATAATTTCTCCTCGCAGAAAAAGCCTCTGGGTGAACAGGCCCATCGATCTAGTAACAGTATACTCGCTTACACAGTCTCCTTGTCGCTTTGACAAACTGCATTAGTCTCTCTGATGTCAATGCTGCTCACCAAGCAAATGTCGTTTCATCTTATCGGTTGTGAAGCACATAAAAGAACAATGAAATCCCGAATTGACAGCATGACTGGGCGCCTGACATACGAAATAAATTGTCATGGACCTCCTCAAAAAGTTTTGCGCTTCCCGAGTATCATTTTACAACTCTGACTTTCCCATATCACTAACACACCGCTCGAACCATACAGTAACACTACCAGAATTATGCAAGCATTCGACCCCGCCATACCAACCCAGTCTCATCCTATTCAACGGACATCTGCAAACGTTATGGACAGCTCTAAGCCGCAACGAGATCGTTGTGCGCTACAAGCGCCGGATCTTCAAGTCGGAAGATGACTTATACCCGGGAAGTTTCGCTGTCGACTTTGTCAGCCAGGACGACAATGACATCAAGCAAGAAGACTCCTCATTGCCCCCACAGACGACATACTACAGAGATCATGATGCGCCCACTGGCTCGCTTGACTGCGCACCAATGCTGGTTGCACTGCACGGTGTGGCTGGCGGTTCTCATGAGCCGTATGTTAAGCATGTGTTAGCACCGCTGGTCGCGTCTGGGTGGAAGGCATGCGTCGTTGTGTCGCGCGGTTGCGGCGGAAGTCAGCTAACCAGTCCGCTGCTGTATAATGCGCGATCGACGTGGGACCTGAAGCAGACAGTGACTTTCTTGCGGCGTCGGTTCCCTAACCGGCCGCTGTATGCTATTGGCTTCTCTATTGGAGCGAACATCCTTGTTAACGTGAGCTCTCCTGAATCTACATGTATCTCCGGAATGCTGATAGAGAGGGATAAATGTAGTACCTTGGCGAGGAGGGTGAGAATTGTGGTGTCAGAGCCGCTGTGGTCTGCTCGAACCCTTGGAACTTGGAGGTCGTTGACAACGCACTCCGGCGGAGCTGGATGGGCCTCAACATCTACTCACATGCCATGGCTGACGGAGCGAAGCAGATCGTGCAACGGTGAGAAAGAGTCCTGGTTATTGCGTGTTTATCCGATATCTAACGCGCAACACAGTCACGCTGACATGGTATTGAGAAACCGTAGCATTGCTGCTACCGCCGTAGAAAAGATTCGATATTTTTTTGATTTCGATATGTATGCATACAATCATATTGATCATCATGTGGCTATAACTGAGCTTACGTTCAAAAGTGCTGTACAACTGCCCATGTGGGGCTATCCAACGAAAGGGACGTATTACAGGGATGCATCATCAGTTGATGCGGTCTTAGCAGTGCGAGTCCCGCTCTTTGCTCTCAACGCAGAAGACGACCCGGTGAGATTGACTGTCAGATTACATTATACATGTCACTAATGGACATTTGGAGATTTCCCATCGTGAGGCGTTGCCATTCGACGAGTTCCAAAACAACCCTTATACCGTGCTTTGCACGACTTCTTCGGGCGGTCATCTTGGTTGGTACGAATCAGAAGAGCAAAGATGGTTCGCCAAACCTGTATGTATCCTTTACACCCGATGGATGGGAGAGTTGGGGACAGAGATAATGAGGAACCGTATTAAAACTGCCCACAGGTCATCACATTTCTTGAGACTGTACATCATGATATAGACTGGACGAAAGATGTGAAGCTTGCTTCGCATGTCACAACGGCGGCTCATGGCCTTGAGTACAAACCAGTGCGCCGCAAGATGCAATATACCACCGCGGCGAACTCTCCTGGCCAATCTGAACTTCAGTTTCCGCATGATCAGCTCTGGTTTTTCTAACATCATCGCATCATCACGAACGCAGTATAGTCCAGCGTCCAAATGACAGTTTCTATAATCCGATGTAGCGTTTCGAAGATGTGGGGAAAAGAAACACACAGCTTTGTCAGCCGTGTGACAATGTTGACTTAATCTAACCACATTCATCCCTGTGACTATCTATGAAAGGCCTCATTTTTTGTTATGGTTGAGTTAAAATGCACTGCATAAAATTTATGATTCTACGATTTCTTTACACAAATCCACGTGAATATCGCTGACGAATAATAGAGCGACACATTTGACAAGCTCTTGGCATCTATCGGGTTACAAATGAATTGATCACGTTTTCATCACCCTCATACATGCAAAATCTACCTTGAAATTTCATTTCTGTCCTGCTCTGGTTTTGGCCACCGAGTGCCACAGCATTGTTAATCAAATTTCAGTCCAAAATACTAGTTGGAACACTTAGCTAGCGAGGCTTATATCAATGTAATCAACATAATCTTCAGCCACTCGATAACGAGATGTAATGGCTATGAAAAGTTGGACCAACAGAGCAAGGGGTACAGTTGTTGGGACAACTACAAAGAATGCAAACCCGGGTATCGCCGTGGTCAATCTCAGAACCACTATAGTGGTGAGCAATAATCCGAGAAAGATGTTCCCTTGATTTCCTATTTCCTTTCGAACAGCATGACTCCGCCTCATCCTCATTTGAGACTTCTGGGGTGATAACACCTCAGCTGTTTTTCGAGTTATAGGTGTAGTATTTGGCTGTTGCTGATCATCCTAAGTCAACTTGCGTTTTGCCATTGAGGTGTGCCCTGACTCACCAACAGTGGAACTGTTCCAATTAGCAGCCTCTCCATTATGGGTTTCACCTCCTCAGAGTGTGCAGCGTCCTGAAAAGCTTCTGTAGCATCTTTGCCTGCAAACGAACGAAGTATCTCTTCTCCCCCAGGATGCTCTTCTATGAACTTCGATATATCGTATACTGTAAGGATCAATTTCCTTTGTTATTGAACAAGGAAGGGCTGGAACCTACCATTTCCTTGAATGCAAATCCATATATTCTTTCCTTTGCCATGATTTGCAACTTCTGCTATAGAGAAATCAGATACCTGTGACATATTGATGCAATTGAAAACCAAGTATTGTGCATATTTGCATATTGTAGCGATTAATGAACAGTTCAAATCATGTCGCTCTGGGCGGCATGATCGGTGTAGTGATGCTTACGTGACACATTTAGTAGGTACTGACTAAGTGACCCCTTGCCTATTTTGACTAATTCAAGTAATCCCTTAGTAGAGTCTCTCTTAGGTGATACCAATCTTACGCTACAATATGAATCCCGAAAAGACCTTAGTTTATAGTGCGAGAGTTGCTCGGGTGTTTTTACTTCTTTGTCTCCATGATGCCTTCACTCTCGCTTGGCTGGCTCACCTTCAAACTACCTTTTGGCGACCTTTCTTCCTGCGATACACGCACAAAATGCTGTACATCACTGTTTCTCTGCTAGGAGTAAGCAATAGCTGGAGTCAGTCCTTTCGATTAGAGGATTATAAAACGTTCGAATCGTTGCATGCTGCAATCCTAACAAGATTCAATATCCTGGTAGACAAAGGCAAGATCTGTCTTATGCCTAGCTTATAACATGATACTGATAGTGTATCTAGCCGATGTTACGCTGTACCAGAGTTCTAGGAAAATTGACTCGTTAGACCAGATAACGGAGGTACCTGTCATTATCCTGGTCAATAATCGCAGAATCAGAGATCCTCAGGGTCCAACCGGTGTTCCCTTTTTTGGGAATTACTTCGACATATACCCTGACCATGTCGGTAACTATCGTCGCCTGTTTGGTACGTACGGACAGGTGATCAAAGTTCGCAATATCGGCCGAGACTTTTACTTGACCAATGATCCAGAAGTAGCGAAGTTGGCTTTCAGGGACGGTGAATACTTTACCAAAGCGCCAACGTCTCCGAACCATCCTCTTCATGGAATCGAAGATCCAACTGCACTCTTCCTTTGCGATACTGAGTCTCCGGCTTGGAAAGAAGCACACAAGTTTCTTCCTCCGAGCATGTCACCGAGGGCAATGAGGCACCACCTGCCCAGCATAGTAGATGCCGTTACTTCATCCTTTAAAGTCCTAGACCAGACGGAGACTCTTGGTCAAGCCTTCAATGTGTTCAAGTACACATGCAAGTTGGCTTCGCAAGTTTCTGCGAAGCTTGTGCTCGGCGTTGATCTGAACCAGTTTGATTCCTTGGATACGCCATTGCACCGAATGATGGAGCTTATTGAACGTGCGGTCAAGTTGAATACTCGCCTTCAGGTGCGGGGTAAACTGTATTCATACCTCCCATTCGGTAAATCCCGATTCTCAAATCGAGTAACCAGAGCTGACCGTGAAAAGGAGATTCGGCGCTCCTTCGACAAAGTTTGAAGGAGGCATATGGCTACATCGATCAGGCAATCCAAGACTGTATCGGTGAAGACACAACCAACCTCCCACTCCAAGTTGCGGCCACTGATTCCACCTGCCTCGTGGATTACTTGCTTCGCGCCACGGATGGCTCTGGAAAGAAAATGACAAGTCGATACATACGAGGCAACGTTCTGGTGCTTCTCGGTGCTGGTTTCATCACTAGCTCAGCTTTCCTCTCATGGCTTATTTATTCATTCACCATCTACCCAGGAGTGCAAGAGCGGCTGCTACAGGAGCTGATCGACCACGGTGGCGCAGTGGATAAGCACTGGAAGTATGAGGAGCTGCAGGCGCTAACATTCCTAGATGCATTCGTCAAGGAAACACAGCGCCTACACAGCCCGTCTTTTCAGCCAGCCCGCAACACACGCCAGGACATCATCCTGCCAGGTGCATACCGTTTACCCGCAGGCGCTATCCTCATCCCTAGCCTACCCCACCTTCACACCAATCCTGCCCACTGGGACGACCCATACTGCTTTAATCCCGATCGCTGGACCACAGCCAGTGTGAAGGAGCGGCATCGCTCTGCGTATGTCCCTTTCGCTGCAGGCGCACGTGGTTGCATTGGATTCAATGCAGCATTGTTAGAGGCAAAGGTTACTGTTGCCGAGCTGGTCTACCGTTATGCTTTTACAGATGCGAGCGAGGAAGCAGTCGAATATGATCCGGAATTTAATAACATCAGACCGTCGAACTTTTATGCACTGGCTGTGAAGAGAACGTCTTGGCCGGCGCCCAACCCAAGCGTTAGGTAGTATTCCATATACGCTCTACTTAGTCTTGGATATAGAGAGAAAGTACCCTAATAGCTTCCCTATTTGTTAATTATTATTATTATTATTATTATTATTCCATTAGAGTCTATCTGCAGTCAGTGACTATGTAAGACTTTGGCCAGAGGCCGTTCTAGGTACAATTTGTTTAAAAGTGAGAGTGTTCTCTGTATAGTACTGCTATTGTGCTGCGGTTTAG